TATTCCTCCTCTAACATTTGGCTGGAACCTGACTGTCCTTATCTTAAAACCATTATTTCATGTTCTGTCTTATGAAGACAGTGCTTGATATTATTCTATGTGAAATCTCTTCACCTCAGCTACTGGAATTTTTCATGAGATTTAGGTTTTTTTGTCTCTAATACTTTTCATTTTTCTGTCTAAATTTGCTCCAATTCATCTGAATACTTTTTAAAGTATTGTGACCAGAACTGGACCCAATCTTTAAAAAAGAGGTCTAGTCAACACAGAATAAAGTGAAATTATTACTTCCAGTGATTTTGAACTTATACTTCTTTAGATGCATTGTTCTGTGTGTCATAACACATAGTTGACTCATAATTTACTTTGCAACTACCATTTCAAGATTTTTCTTACTAGTAATATTGCCAAATTAATTGTTTTCCATCCTCTAGCTGTGTATTTCATTCCTCTTTCTAAGTGAATTCTTTTGTACTTTGTTGCTGTTTCATTCTTTCCAGTCCATTCCTATAATCAAGATTATTTTGGATTGTATTACTATCTTGAGTCTTAGCTATTCCTCTTAATGTTATCTCTATTACTCATCTGGAATATAAACTTTCCCCATCCTTTTAATTAATATTTTTTGATATGATAAACTTAATAAATCTTAAAATTCATTGTGACGCATTCCTCCTGTGAGGCAGCATATTTAAATGGTTAACACATATTTATTTCTATTTCTCATAGTACTGAATCACCAGTTACTGTAACTATTCTGTCTCCTTGCCAGATGCTGCTTGGCCCTTCGAAGAGGCACCATCTCATTTCCTGTTCGGCAACATTTTTTTTTCTTCTTTGAAAGCCCAGAGGCTTTTTTTTTTTGGAAGACTATTAAATCTGGGTCTGAATTCCAGTATCTTTTATGTTGTTTCTGGACAACACTCTTGTCCACTCATTAAACAAACACTCATTTGTTTTATGAAATGAAACTGCTTCATTGTCAGTTCTTGTTGAATGTGTCTTTATTGGATCTATGCTGTTGAAGCTTGTTTACTTCCTGCTCCAATTCTTGTGCTTTTTCTTCAGAGCCTGCTCCAAGCTTGGGCTTTCTACCCATATAATTTATTTTCAGGGCAGCATCCAAAACATGTCATGTGAATAGCAAGTCATGTCCATTCATCTCCACTGCTGTCTCTCAAGGACATCATCCACCAATACAGAGGTGATATCTTTTCCTTTTCTCAGGCTGTCAAGTTAACTAAGTACCAGCTGCCCATCAGAGATTAACTTTTTAATTGACTTCTTAAACTTCATGTTCATATTATCATGTCTTTCTCTGGTTTGCTCAGATATTGCTTCCAGAAAAGTGCCATATTACAAAACATTTGGTGCTTTGGGGAAGAGGCCTCTGGCTTCTGTGTACAGAAATCTCCTATCCAGGGTAGGGGCAGCAAGTGAAACAAAAAAATGTGTTGGAAATTTGATGGAGCCATTATGAGCAGAATCATGGTTAAGGCAAATGAAACCTGGTCCCCCTTGGCTGAGATAAAACCTCTTTCTCTGTCTTAGGGAGAGAACAGAGCAAGGCTTGTTCCTCTTATCCCTCTCTTACCTCCTATTTAGCATTGAGAGCCAGACCACATTCACCCTTCCCACTGCCTTCCTTCCCTTTCCCTTCCATGCTTGACTTCAACAAAGGCATACCCAACAGCTCATCTGTCCGTTCTCCAATTTTCCCTTTCCCCTTGCCTCTCGTTAGCTGCCACCCTTGAATTCAAGTCTAATGTACCCACTTCTGCTTGGCTTTTTCACATCTCCCACCCGAGAACATCTCTGATATAACCCATTTTGAATTCATGCCTAGATTAAACATATATTTCAGTCCAGGCATGGATCAGTCACTGTCTTTCCTATGCAGAGAAGAGATCGTATAGGGAACTTCTTAAATGGCCTTCTACCCTAGGATAGATGAATTAGTGTAATGATGCCCTCCAGTTCTGAGCATGAGACGTTCATGGCCAGGTTTGTGAGAGAGGTCAGAGACCATTCAGAGCAATATTTGATCATTCCAGTTTCAGGAATAATTCAAGAGAGGAGTTGACAAATCAAAAAAGAGTGCGGGCAAAGCTACAAGGATAATAAAAAAAAATCTGCAAGGCAAATCACATTACCAGAACTTGCGTAAACTTTGCATGTTTTGCTTGCTGGAAGAAATCCTAGGAGATGTAAGTTTACAGCTTTCAAAATATTTATAATGATGTCAAAAGAAAAAGGAGAAACATTTGTCCACTGTGTGCTGCTGCTGGAATAAAAAAACAGGAAAAAAAAACCAAAGTAGATTTGCAAACAAGCAGTTCTTCATTCTCTCCTATTTTAGAGATTCTTCTATTGACAGCAGTTTGGAAAGGAAAGGTAAAAACATCCTTATAGTTACATGCACTGATCATACACATTTATCTGAGAATATAAAAAGATCTGACTGAAATGTAGTTAGTTATTTATCACATTTATATGGCCACCCATTTCACCAGAAATGACTCTGGGTGGTATACAGCGGGTAGTGTACAATCATGATTTAAAACATAGAGAAACATATACACGTAGTTCTCGACTTACAATCATAACTGAGCTTGACAAATAAGTCATAAAGGTCATAAAGCAAGACATCATGTGGCCAGGCCTGATTTTACAACCTTTTTGCAGCGAACACCACAGTCATTAAGCAAACCTATTATTTTTTCATTATGGCCATTTTTTTTCTTGGAAACTGGAAGCAAACACCAGTTTCTGGGGAAAAAAAACCTCATAACAAATTGTAGTCATGTGACTGTGGGGTGTTGTAAATGGCCATAAATTCAATACCCAAAATATGACCAAAGATTACCTGTAAAGTCTTTCATTCTATACTTTGTTACATGGGGGGAAATCCATTGTACTCAATGGGACTTTGTTCTAAATCCCACTGGGGATCAGAAACAAAACTACAAAACTGCTATTTCAATTTTATATGCACATTTAGATGAAAATAAAAACTACTGAGTTATGGATGCTCAGGGAGTTTCCAAGTTTGAAACAGAAAATCTGAAAATCCTAAAGCTGTTGAGATACTAGTCTAGGGACCATATGAATGCATCCTAAACTAAGTAAGAATGACTTGTGAGAAAAAGAGGGAACCTAACAAAGGGGCAGTCCACATTTCTCTGTAAATTCTCAGATTGAAATAATAGAAGAGATATACAATTATGAACTCTGGGTTCTTATTTCTATTCTTACCAATTAGCAAATTGACTGCCATGATTTTAATATTTGTTTAAAGTCAATCTGAATCTTGTTCTTTTAAGAACAGAATTTAGGACTGAAGGTACTGGTAATAAACCCTGTGTTTAAAATTTCTTAAAAGATAGATTCATAAGTTATTATGTTAATTCCATGATAAATGTGCAAAGAAATGCAAGAGTTCTTTGCATGAATAGCCAGCCCAATGGTTTTGTTTGCTTATGTTCTATGGAATGCCATCTGGCTTTTCAAGGACATCTTGATGTGTGTCCTCCAAGCCTTTGCATGTACACTCAATCTCTCTGCTGCTTATGATTGTTTATTATCCCATATTATAACATTCAAGGGCAAAAGAAAGATTATCCTGCATTATCTTCAATCTAATTATTATTAATACAACATAATTGGGGTACATGGCACTTTCCAGTTACGTAGCAAAATAAACAGAGCTGGGTGTTACTATTGGGAAGGACAGGAAAGTAACCTGCTTGGGAATTCAAATGCTTTAAAAGTGAATGATGTGTTTTTGCTACAATATAATCACATTGCTACTTGTAGCTGGTTTCAGTAGTAGGCCAATCACCAAAGAAGAATTGTGGCATTTTTATTTATGGCATGTATAATCAAATTATACACTTTCTTTTCTTGGGTGCTGGTCATAGGCTCTAATAGGCAGGGCTCAGCTCTGGGACCTGTTCCATTTTATTTTGCACAGCCAGAGCTCAACACAACTCAACACATGTGGGCCAATGATACAAGATAAATGCATGAGCTTCCCTTGCCTTCCCAACCAGTTTGAATCACAGACTCTAGAACTCCTGTATACTTCTGATAAAGTTTGCTCCCAACTTCCAAGTAGGGATGGGAAGATAATCTTCAGAATAGAGGCCTGAACTCTGAATTCATACATTTAAAATTAATGTTGACTTAAAATGCAATTGAAAGGTGATTGATTTAGAGAGCTACTTAGGGAACCTGTGTAAAGTGGCAGCTGATTAATTTGTTGCTTTGGAAAAGTCAGAGGCATTTTAAAGCAGTTTATGCTGTAATTAAAAGTGCTCCAATTAGGAAAAGAAGGGCCACCCCTCATTTTGTGGTGGCATTTGCAGCTAACTTTAACATGAGTTTTTCTAAATATGTCTTAAGCTCTAAGGGGAACACTGAATTTTAGTCTCTTTCCCTTTTCCTCTACTATTTCAACATTCAAAGGCACCTGAATAAGAAACCGCCCCCCCCCCCCCAATTTTATTTAAGCAGTAGGGGAACTACGGTGCGGCTTTCCAGAATTTTTACCGAGTTCCACCGAAAAGCACGCATATAAAAATATTGTATCAATCCGGGTCCATCAACGTGGCCCGACCTCTTTTCTCATTATCTGTTTATTTATTATATTTTTGTCCCGCCGTACTCAAGAAAAAACAAAAAACTTCTAGCAGATCTTCCACCGGGTCTTTCAGAAACCAAAGAAGGCAGCAGGGGTGGCTTCGCCAGAAGGTAAAACCCCGATCCTCAGATCTAAGGGAAAACTAGCGGTAGCGGCCAAGCAAAGGCAAAAAAAGGAGACTCGCCGGGACTCCCCGGATCCTAAGCTCAACCGAGGAACTGCATGGAAGTGAATGGGAGGCGGGTCATGTGACTCGCCGCCGCGCCGGGATGTGCACATGCATCCTTGCGATGGGCAAAGGGAGGGAGGCGAGGCTTCGGAGGGGTCACGTGTCTTTCCCGGCTCTCCTCCTCCTCCTCCTCTCCCCCCCCCGCCAGCTGCGGAGCCAGCCAAGCAGCTGGCTGGGAGGGCTTCTTTCACCATCGTCCAGCGACTGCCGCAGCGCAGCTGGAAAGAAAGGGGAAGGGACAGGCCGCCGGCTCCGGATCGATTGCCGGGTCCTTGCAAAGCCTCTGAAGGGTCGATGGATACCCTCTCCTGCTTGTGAGGCACACGGCGCAGTGGCGCCTTTGGAAGTGCCGCGAAGCCAGCATGTGGACTGGGTAGGAAGTCTTGAGTCTGCAGTGAATTTCCGACTGGGGTGGCGATGCTGGTCACAGTGGCACTTTACGTGCCTTTTGCCCCTCGGGGGAGGATTGTATTCCCGTAATCTGCTTTTGCAGCTCATCCGCGGGAGAGACTCCCCTTCTTAGGTTCAGGAAGCCCCGGCTGAACGTTGCGGAGGCAGCGGCGGGATCCGGAGAGGAGTCCCCGAGCGCCGGCTGAGAAAAACTGACTAGAGGGGAGGGGATGCGGTGTTGACTAGCTTGCATTTTCCGGATAAGAACTTGTGTGAGTCTGATGACGGGGAGTAGTCCCTCCAAGACAGTTCCGCGGCTGACGTGTAAATTGGAATGGTTGTGCACCGTGGTCAGCGAGGGGTCTAGATTTGAACTGGTGTAAGGTTCAGTTGGAGTGATCCAATTTTACTCCCTAAAGCGGAATATTCTGATGAATTCCAGAGGTGCTTAGGAGCCTTAACTCCCAGAACTGCAAAATCTCCATCTAACAGGGGGTTCTGGTGCATGCAGTCCCAGTGATAAGCCCTAGGTTTGAAAATGGCAAAAGTGTTGCATTCTGAAATTCCACAAATTTCCCTGCAAACATACCCAAAGATATACCTGCAGGTGTATGAAATACCTGTCCAAGGACTGACAACAGTAAGATGGATTCATGTGTGTGCGCGCGGGTGTGCACACATGTGAATGGAAATGTTGATGCATTTCCAGGTTTGGAGGAAACAGAGAAAACATTTGGGATGCCTCCAAACCCACCTGGCTACCTGATTGCTATACTTCCTCTGCTTTTTCCTCTTCCTTGTTCCCATTACCTCACAGCCACTATTGCTTCCTATTCCTTGTACTAACTAGCCAGCCACCCAGCAAACAACATGGAAAGTAAGTGTTCTGCTGGTCATCCACCTACGGTATTGCTGTACAATTTAAAGTGCTTGGATGCAGTTTCAGCCACTGGTTGACATGTGTTCTTTTGTGGGGCCCCAGACGTACATCTCATTAGACTTGATAATTGTGCATTAGACTTGATATTTGTCACTTTAGATCCAAAATCACTCTCTTCCAGAGATCCAGTTCTGCACATTGTGCAGAAGGGTACAGTACTTCTTTCCAGCCTGTTAGCTAAAGGTTCATCCCATGAACTGAAAAAAAGAGTGACAGGGGAAATCAAAGGTGGGCTGATGACATTGTCTGGATGCATAATAAAAATCTGATATTGGCATCTCTATGGGGCAGAGCTCAATTGCTAGCTTCCAGAAACCAACAGCTTTGACATATTCATATCTTCGTGCTCAGGGCCATAAAGGAAGAATTAAAGTCAGGTTGAAACTATCGGGGGTAAAGACTAGGAAGATTGATTCTAAATCTAGCACTTTGGGCTCTTCAGTATCTATTTTTGCCTGCTTACTATCTTTGAAAGGGTAAAGGACCATCTCAGGTGTGATGCAGAAAGAGAAATAGTACGCAATTGGACTCTTTTTCCTTGCAATAATGTTTTGATGTTTCCATGGGCAATGGACGTGCAGAACCACATTTATCTTGGTTCAATTGTTGCTGTGCCCTTGAAGTCCTAAGAACATGAGTGATGTGTGTATAGATCTTGAGACAGCCAGTGGTTGTAGGCTCTGCTGCCAAGGAATATGTATGTTATTTCAGGAATTCCTATGCCAGAAATCCTACTAAGTCGATCGTGTATAAACATTTTTATATATATTGTCCAGCACTTTAGATTATGTTCCAAAAAAGCTTTCTAGTATTAGTTAACATGTCAGCAGATTTCCCATTTACAATTGTGGCATCAGGTTGATGATGTGGTATTGCAGTGTGAGAAATATTATGGAAATCAAAGAGGACTTCATGAAGTGGCTTGATTCTCTCATTAAAGCAAAGCAGAATACCAGAAGAATAATAGCCTTACGAGTGTTATTTTTGTGCTAATAACCAGTGTTGTTTCTTTTATTTGTTTATATATTCAGAGAGCTTTAACTAGTCTGTGTGAAAGTGGGGGGGGGGAGGGGGGGAATGATGAAGTAGTTTCCCAGTTAATAATTCCTCTCCAGGTAGGAGGAAACAGTGAAACATCTCTTTATTCTGGTGTCAGAGGAAATTTCTTTCACGGAAGAGGAAAGCCCTGCAGATTTCTTTCTTGGGCATATTCCTTGCAGAATTCTACCAGAAGTCGTCTAAAGGCATTTCATACAGGAAATTGCTCTTGTCAGACCAGCTCTGCAGGGAACTCATTGGGCCTTTCGCTAAAAGTGCAGATCCGGCACATTTCTCTCTCCCCTCCTCCTGTTTCGGCAGAATTAGATTTTTAAAAAAGATCTTGCTAACAACTTCCCATTGTGAAGAGATTTTGTGAGGCAAAGGTTGGCCTTCCTCACTAAATTGGAATGGTGGATTGCGGCTCTTTACTTGGGCTCATAGTTTCAGGGAAGAGCATCTGTAACCTTGAAGCCTGGATTGAGGACTGTCTCTTCAACAGCTTCAAATTAAAAGTCTGCTAAGAAAATGACTCATGATACTTATTGACATTTATCCCAACACTTTATTGTGTCATATTATCTTGTTAATTTCATTTAAATTTGGGAGGGAGGAGTTCCTTCACCAAAAGCTTCTTCTTGAAAAGACCAGCTACGTTGGATTACTAAATAGCAACTGTTCTTGAAAATAAAGACCAGATGGCAATTTTAATCCAGACTAACAGCGGCAACTGCACTGATTAATGATTCTGAAATTTACCCTCAGTGTGGTTGCTTTCAAATAATTCAAATAAACATAAAGTGCTGGGATTGAGCAAAAATAATTACTGGACGGTGTAATATTCCTAGATATTGATATGGCTGAAAGCCTATTTAACTCCATGCAGGTCAGAAATGACATCTGCAAAATAGGAAGGAAACAGGATGGACTATTATATAAGCTATTGCAAGAAATGGTCAACAGACAGCAAAGACCAGAGAAAAGAGCTGTGGCCAATTTTTTTACATTGTTAAAGTAGGGGTTAAGTTTTAAACTCTTGAGTGTTATGTATATGGGTAATATAGATGGTTAGAGTTCTAGACTTTGGAGAAGCTGCTCTTTGCCAGGACAAAACTAATGTCAGATCTGCAATAATAATTATTTACCGGTTCAGGTCTTGTCTTTTATTTCCCATGATTGCTCTTGTGGGTGGGCTGTAGTTGGGGAATGAGGTTTATTGCAATGGCCTGAATGTACCGGTGTCTAGATGATGTATTTTGAAAGCCAGGAGGAAGTTCAGTACATGAGAACGTGTATTCAGGATATGGGAGCATTTAATAGACATGTTCATTCACCCCTGCTACATCCTGTAGGATACCAGTTGTACTGTTGACTGCAACAGATAGGCATTATAGAAAGGCAACTTTCCTCCTTTTATCTAATGTTGGTAGATTACCTCAAAGGTGCTTTTTCAAAAGGCAGCTGACCTTTCTTTGTTTTTCCTTGAAGATATTTTGCTTCTCATCCAAGAAGCTTTATCAGTTCTGACTGGATGGTCATGGTGGTGGGGAATGGAAGGATTTGCTCTAATTCTTAGGGTTTGGGGCCAGAACTAATCCTTCCATTCCCCCCTACCCCCATCATACAGTCAGAACTGGTGAAGCTTATTGGATGAGAAATGAAACATCTTCAAGGCAAAACAAAGTCCATTTGCCTTTTGAAAAACACTTTTGTGACAACCATGACCTGAATGACTGAGAATCTCCATTCAGTAGACTATGTCCCAAGTTTATTTCTCAGCATCTCCAGAAAGGACTATGGAAAGTCTTTTATAAAGAAGTTGGAGATTTATTCATACATGTTGCAGTTCCCATGGATCTGAGCAGAATCTGGTTTTGGGCAGGGAGTGATACTGATATTGAGCTAGATGGACCAATAATGAATCGGCGAGTCTTTGAAGTTTGAACTAAGCATAAAAGGCAAAGCTAGAAGAATATTGTTTTTCTTTTGTTCCGTTGTGTCTGATTCTCAGAAACTGCCTTGCACAAGTTCTTGCAATTTTCTTGACAAGGCTTTTCAGAAGGAGTTTGCTCTTATCTCCTTCCTAGGACTGAGAGAAAAACGACTGTCCAAGAACACCCAATTGATATAGTCTCCTGGTTTCTAGCCTGATGCCTTAAACACTTCACCAAACTGGGTGTAGGGAGAGGGAAAGTGGCATAGAAAAAGTGAAAAAAAAAGAAAAAGAAAATCAGTGACCGGAAAAAAGTATTTGTAAAAATACAGGAGCATTTTTAAATTTTATTCCTTTTTGTTATATAAAGGTTTCCTACTTCCTCCTGTATCCTAAGGATTTGTGAAAATTAGTTTCTTTGTATTCCCAGAATTTTTATAAATAAGCTACCCAAAACAGGAAACCTTCAGTTTGCTGCCTTAAATAAAATAAGGTTCATACTTCTACATTTTACTAAGGGTCAGATAACTGGAAATTTTCTGATTGCTGTTCATTTATCTTTGCTGAGTTGTCACTAAACAACTCTTTCTAACAGAATGCCCAGCCTTGAACTATTTGTAAATGTCTGTTTTCCTCATGAAAGCATGCAAGCGTAGTTACAATTTCTATACAGTAGGTAAATAGCAGTTCATAAGCACTTCAAGAAAATTGACAATAAAGTAGTATTTGTGGGAATAAAAGATTTTTAATATAATTCACACCTTTCTTCGTCTGATTTAGGAAATGATTCAGGACCTGAACTATTTTGCTCAACTGACAGTTGTTTTTAAAGAAACTCTTGCTGACTGAGCTCCTTTTAAACTAGACAAGCAGAAGTTTAGATGTTTCTGTTTGTGAATGAATAGTTGCCTTTTTCTGCATGTAAACTGTATATGTCAAACGTGAGTGAAATTTCATTGCACATCACATCACACTGCATTAAGTTTTTAATTAGCTGTTACACATGGAAGCAAAACAGCCAACTGGTATGTCCATCTTATAGAATGTGTGTGATGATAGAAAGAGAAAATCA